GTTTTTAGGGGTTTCAACCCCTTTTTTCTCGAAAACGTGACGTGATGGGAAGTTTTGGACCCCAGATTCGTGTTCAGCACGAAAAATCCGTTCGGAAACATCAGGTCCCGTCTTATTCGCAAAACCCTTGTAGACCAGTGTAATTAGTGTATATGGATCCGAAAAAATGGCCGTTTGACCAAAATGTCAAAATTCTAGACCCTCCAACTCGGAGTGTGTTTGACCGATTCCATTGAAATTTTGTGTCATCACTACTATTTTTTAGGACTAACCTTGGTGCAAATTTCATCCCGATCGGAAGACATAGTTTCAAAGTGTCGAGGTGAAATGCCCCATATATATATTACTAGCTTATACCCGCGGGTTTCACCCCGCGCTTTTATACAAATATGAGAAATAATTTAATGATGTTAGATTTTATTTCTGTGCCCATTTCGTTATAGCTCGTTATTTTTTAAGCGAGTTAAGGTATTTAGGCCGTTTAAAACTATGAAATTATAAAATCTCGTCTGCGCGCTAGGCATACGAAAGATATCAATCCCTCTAAGTTTACCTTAAAATGGTTCCAGTATACGACGCGTGAACGTGTAACCTTCTCGGAGGAGCCACGGTGGGCTTAAATATTTCCAACTCAAATCTAGTAACCTGGCCTTGATAAAATACTACTTCTCATTACTGTAGCAAATGCCTCAAGAGAGCTTTAGGTTATAAGGCCGAGCCCGGCTCTCCCTTTTCCATTTAAAGAAATTTATTCTGTCAGTACGGCACTTATAAAATAAATCTCCATAACAAATTTAAAATACTTCGAGAGATTTTCTATCCTTCCAGTGATATGTATTAAGAAGTTTTTAGCATGTATGGGAGGCGACATGCCTCCTCTTTTAATAACTCACATTTTTTTCATGAGCAATTCATACATTTTGCATTCACAACTCCATACCAAGTTCCAGTATTCTTCCACAAACACTTCCAGGGATATGTGACAAGAAAAAGTAAATTTGTACTGGAAGTGCCACGCCCCTTTTTCTTATGACCCGAATCTTCTTCCATGAATTTAGAACAGATTTTACATACCCCAGTACCAAGTTCCAGTACTCTACCTTGAACACCTTTAGAGATAAGCAGTATAAAATAGTAAATTTGTACGGGAGGAACCATGTCCCCTTTTCGAATAACGCAAATTTTTCTCCATGAGTATGGAATTAATTTTATGTACACATCTCGGTGTCAAGTTCCAGTCCTCTGCAATAAACACCTCCAGAGATATGCAGCATAGAAAAATCAATTTGCATGGGAGTTGCCACAGCACCTTTTCCAATAACTCTCATTTTGCTCCATGAGTATGGTATTAGTTTCACATAATACATACATATGTATTTCCATACCAAGCTTGAGTGCTTTACCCCAAACATTTGAAGAGATATGCAATATGAAACTTTCAGTCAGTATGGGAGGTGCTACGCCTCTTTCACAAAAACGTCCATTTTTCTCCGTCAATATGAACATGTCTAGTTTGTCCGAGTTTGAAACCAAACACCAGTTAGACTTTCAGTCTAAGACCATCCTTCCGAAATCCGCAGTAAGTGTACTAAATTTCGTTCTGATCGGAAAACCAGTTAAGATAGTAGCCTATTTTTCAATCCAGGTCATAAACGATCTTTAAACAAAATTTCATTTTCAAACAGGTGGCAATTCTTAAAAAAGTAGCCTATTTTCCAGTCTAGGTCATAAGCTATATATTTCTTTATTTCTTTATTTAATTATAAGTCTTTGGAATACAATCCTTCAGACTATGTACTTAACTAATTTATAGATTACAAATTAATTTTGTGCATAAATCAAACCACTTATAAGGCAGAATTAAGCATCGAGAAAAAAGCATCACTTTGCATCGAAAAATCCAAGGTGAATCACTTAGTGAATTAAACTCTCGTAAAGCACGATTAACAGGAGCATTACAAGCGTATTGCGTTTTCGTATTAACCCCATAGAACGGACACACATTGCGAAGATGCCGTTGAGGAACATTAAACCGAATCCTTTCCAATAAGTATGGACAGTCAATTAGGCCCTTGATAATTTTGAAGGAAAAGGACAAAGAGAGTATAGATCTTCGACTCTCCAAGAATTTGAGACTTATCAGCATAAGACGAGCAGCATAAGGTGGTATGGGCTCCACAAAATTTAACGACCAAAGAGCATACTTAAGAAAGCGTTTTTGTACTCTCTCCAGTCTATTTATAGCTGTCATAGTACTAGGTCGCCAAATAAAGACGGCATATTCTAAGTGAGACCTGACAAAAGAGGTATAGAGAACTTTAAAAGTATATGGGTCACAAAATTTTGCGGTATTGCGCCTAACAAAACCCAGCATTGAGTACGATTTAGAGGTTACGTGGCTAATATGACTGTTGAAAGAAAACTTGCTATCAAATATAACCCCAAGGTCCTTAATCTCACTAAGACATTGAAGTTCACAATTTGATATACTGTATTTTGAGCGAAGAATATTAGATGACTTAGAATAGGTCACGTGAAAGCATTTAGATGCATTTAAGGACAGATGAGACTTATGACACCACAGACGTAACTTGGAAATGTCATCTTGTAATTTCATTGCATCATCAGGCGTCTTAATAATTGAGAACAATTTTAGGTCATCAGCGTACAGGAGACATTTAGCAAAAGTAAAGCAGTTACTGATGTCATTAATAAAAAGATTAAATAATAATGGACCTAGTATACTCCCCTGTGGTACCCCTGAAGAGGCAATAAAGGGAATAGAGGATACCCCATCCACAGTGACAACACTCCGCCTGCTGGATAAATATGAACTTAACCATAACAGAAAGGAAGAATGAAAACCAAGGCATCCCAGTTTATAAATTAAGACTCGATGAGAGACCCTATCAAAGGCTTTTGAAAAGTCAGTATAGATACAATCAACCTGCGAGCCAGCCGAAAAGGACTCAATGCAATACTCACTGAAGACAGCAAGGTTAGANCCTTTTGAAAAGTCAGTGTAGATACAATCAACCTGCGAGCCAGCCGAAAAGGACTCAACGCAATACTCACTGAAGACAGCAAGGTTAGAAATCGTCGACCTCTCCGCAACGAAACCATGCTGATAGGGAGAAATAAGGGACTTAACCGCAAAGCTCAACTTAGCATTGACTGCATGTTCAAAAATTTTGGAGACGGTGGTCAGTTTGGAAATGGGCCTGTAGTTACGCACATCATTTTTGTTGCCACTTTTGAAGACAGGCGTAATAGACGTAACCTTCCAATCGTCAATAAAGATCCCAGACGAGAGTGATTTGTTGAAAATAAGTTGAAGAGGAAAAACCAGGGCCGGACAATTTTTCAATAAGATGGGGGAAAATCCGTCTGTTTGAGAAGAAGATTTGAGATCGTTAACAGCTCTAATAATATCCTCAGTAGAAAGATGTTGAGCTCCGAAATTTAAGGCAGAGTTCAGACTATTCGATAAATCAAGCGGTAGACTACTATCGTCCACAGAAAAATTCGATTTAAAAAAATCGGCAAATAAGTTAGCTGCCTCATCCGGAGTTTTCGCCGAGTAATCATCAAGGAAAACTCCGGTAGGCACACTAGCGGAACTTTTTTTGTCCTTAAGATATTTCCAAAAACTTTTGGGATTCGATTTAATGTTTCCCTCTATTTTGCGCATATACTCGGAATAAAGAGATTTATTCAAAATATTAAAATCCTTTAAGTATAGCTTATATTTACTGAAGAAGAAGTTATTCTTACTCTTATGAAATTTTTTTAAGAATTTGTTTTTAAGATTCTTGAGTTTATTTAATTCTTTAGTGTACCAAGGTAATTTATAGGCTCTTTTTACCCGCAGGGGGATCCTATCTAAACATTGGGTGTATACGATCGACTTGAAAGCGGAAAAGCTGACAGATGTATCAAGCCCACCAAGTAGCTCCTCCCAATTTATTTCAAGTAAAATATCATTAAGACTTACAAAGTCACACGAAGAATAATTAAAGATTGGTCTACTCACAGTAGTAACCGGAGGAAAATGATAAAATCTAAACTCGACAACAAGTGGTAGATGATGTCTGTCCTTAGAAGTAACTGGATTCAGGCACTCACTAACTTCACAACAAAAATTGTCACTTATAAATATAAGATCCAGTAGCCTATTTAGAGAATTAAAATAATTATTAATTTGAATTAAGTTAAGACTAAGTACATTATCGATGAAATACAATTCTTGACTTGAGTTGACATTATTTGGCGTGAGACCGTAATTATTAGAAATGCTGGTTGACCAATTAATATTAGGTAGGTTAAAATCGCCGAGCACGCAGAGGTGATGCTCCTTAACGTTGTTTAAGACTAATGAAGCAATGTTATCTGCGTGGGCCTTGTATAATTCGAAAGAGCTGCCCGGGGGCACGTACGACGCAAGAAGATACAAAGAGTCTTGCGGTGTGGAACCGTTAACACAAACACAAAGCTGATCCAGTAAAGAATCACCATTCGAAAGTGTGACCAAAGACGCTTGCAGTTGACGCTTAATGGCAATAAGAACACCACCTCCTCGAAGGCAGCCAGTTTTTTCAGCATCACGATCTTTACGAAATACATTGAACAGATTTGAGTTGAAGAATTCACCGTCAAAAAAATTCTCATTCAACCATGTTTCGACGAAAACAAAGATGTCGTAATTCATTTGCTCACTAAAGTTGTGCACCATTTCAGACTTGGTTCTCATACCAGATAAATTCTGAAAGTAAATTTTCAGCTCTCTATTACTTTGTATGTGCAGTCGGGTACTACTTGCTACGTCCGTAATAGCTTTCGTCGACCCTTCCGAAAATTCAGAAAAGGCTTAACGGTAACATTTGTTGGCCAGATATCCGGGCATAGTAATTTTTCATAACAGGACTCAGGGACTCCTAATTTAAAATTAATCCTATTCAGGGATTGAGCTGAGACATCTTTTTTAATTAGTTTAGAGCATGAGATTAGAGTTCTGTCTAAATCAATTTGTTTAGCTACATAATTTTTAATGTCATCCTCAGATACGGATGGAGAAAAAGAGGCCAAATGAAGCAATTTGTAGCGGTCAGCGACAATTAGATCAGTATTATCACTAGTTCCTATTATGCGAATATTATTATTATTGTTATGCCGTTTATGCGACACCTTTACCCATTGTGCATTGCCAGTCACATTATTCGTCACATCAGTAGGCATATGAGAGGATGCAAACTTTCATGCAAATCAGTTCAGTCATTTACGCGTATTAATTTAATTAAACTTTCCTAATACGTGATAACTCTTAAAATAGTAGCCTATTTTCCAACATAGGTCATAAGCTATCTCTGTGCGAAATTTCGTGCAAATCTGTTCAGTCGTTTCCGCGTATTAATTTAATTAAAACTTTTTTAACAGGTGGCAACTCTTAAGAAAAGTAGCCTATTTTCCAATCTTGCCTATAAGCTATCTGCGTACCAAATTTCATGCAAGTCCATTCAGTCGTTTCCGCGTGATGATTTCCCAAACATTAAAACATACAAACTTTCACATTTAGAATATTAGTAAGATTAAATCAAAAAAAAGGAGACCTTCCCTATAATGTATGTTTGTACATATATGTATATACATAGAACAAATATTTTTAGATATTCCCAGCCAGCAAAATCATCGTACACGAACTCGAAACTGGGTATTTTCTCGAAGATCTATAATCTAGATATGGGCAGTAAACTGATTCTTTGGTACAATTTATTAAAAAAAGGAAAAGACCTTGTCTGAAGAAGATATGAAGGATGTTGAAGTTCTAGATATATTTAAAGAAAAAAAAACGAACTTTTACCAGCGATAAATAAGTGTATTTCCATTTTGAGCGCTTTTCCATGCGCAACAGCGACCGTGGAGCGATCGGTTAGTACACTTCGTCGAATAAAAATCCGTCTCAGAAGCACAACAGGAGAAGAAAGGCTTTCTGGGCTATGCCTCATGAGCGTATATAGAAAGCTCGTTACCGAAAACCGCGAGATGATCGAAAATTTTGCTGAAAATCCGAGACGTTTGTTATTAGCTTAACCATGATTAAATAAAAAATATATAAAAAAAATTAACAAGTAACGTGACTTATCGATCTGAAGTTATACCTGTTAAAAAATTCCCCGCCTATGGGATGCGCCATGCCTCCCTTTAGAAACTAATTTATATATACCCTACTATAAGCACCTACCATAGATATGTCTGCATACCAAATTTCAGGTTCACGTGAGTTATGGTTTCGAAGTTAAAGGTGATAAAAATTCCCACGCCCCTTTTTAAAACTCGTCATTCTAGCCAAATATTTTTTTATTTTCACTTTTATTTTAACATATTTTGATTAAAAGAAAAATACTGATAGAAATAAAATATTTCACACAAACAACAAAAAATATAATCGATAATCGCATTTGCCTGAAAATTTTAAAATGCACTTAGTAGCATTGTGCTACTATGATAGCACGGCCGAGTAATCATGGTCAACTTATTTACAGTAGACTACATCACTCCCCATACAAAAAAAAAAAAATCGGTACTGTTTTTCCACTGGAATTATAAAATCTATTATATTTTAAGACTCCCACCAAAATATCTCGCAAAAATATTAAGATTTACGTTAGCTGGACCGATTTGAAAATACCTAAAAAAATTGAGATTTTTATTAATAAAAAACAGTTTTTTGAATATTTTTTTTTAAAAAACTACCTCAGATGACTAAACAGTTTAAGCTTAAAAAGTTTGCATAAATATATTTAAAAAAATTTTCTACGGAATCATAATAAAGAGATTTTTGATGCGCTTTTTTAACTTTTTTCAAAGACTGGGTTAAGAAAAACTTGAATAACTCAGCCAAAGCCAATTTAGGCTTATGAGCAGCGAACGGATTTTTAGGACATAAAAACTTATAAAAAAGGCAAAATAAAATAGCAAAATGGGCAGGAAAAGGCACGAAAAAAAGCAAAAGAAGGCACTAAAAAGACAAAAACTGAAAAATATCAAAAAATACATTCATTTTAGAAATATTTATTTTACAAGTAAAAAGAGAAAAACTATGAACTATTTTCATTATAATATAATACTAAGAAAAACTTGTACTTTGAATATTTGACTATTTTCTCTTTTCGAGTTTTTTATTCACAAAACTTTACTCTCTATAGTTGTAGTAGCATTGATCCACAAGATGCATTTGGAATTTTTCTGGCAGAACTTTCATTCTTTAGCAGAAAAAAAGGCAATTTCCATAAAATCCGTTCCCTGTTTATGAGGTATCATTGGTAAGGTATTTTCTCACCCTTTTAATTTCTTTGCGAATAAGCTCATTCAAATTATGAGAGACGAAGGTAAGATAAACGAGTGTCATTCCATGTTGAATTAAGATGTTTTGGTATTGAGTAAAGAAAAATGGGACGTGAAGGAGTTTTTTGCAAAGAATAAAAAGGGTGAGCAAATGCCTTTCCCCTTATACCTCATAAGTCTATATGAGGTGAAGTTTTGGAGCAGTTATTAAAGTTTTTCTTACACAAATCTTTGAAAAAAGTTAAAAACTGTTTTGTCACCTGAGGGGATTTTTTCCAAAAAATCCATTAAGATACTATTTATATTCATAAAAAACTCCATTATTGGAGGTATTTTCAAACCGGTCCAGCTCACGTAAATCTTAACATTTTTCCGAAATATTTTGGTTGAAGTCTTAAAATATAAAAATTGTGTAATCCCGCCGGAAAAACCGGAACTTTTTTTGGTGATGCAGACTAATGTACAGTAGTCGAAAAAATTATAGCCGCACCAAATTTTCACAAGTTTTAAAATATTATTTTTGTTGTTATTTAATTTTGGTTAGTTTTTTATAGTTAATTCTTTAACAACATCCGTATAAATACAAGTTTAAAGGCAGTGTCACACGATTAGGTATTTGCCAAAATTTGGTGCAAATCGTATCCCTATTGTGTGAATACCCAAATATTTTTCTTTATCCCAATAACGAAAATTAATTTGTTGAAATTTTCCCATAGAACATCGCTGTATTGTACCAATCTTTTGACTATTCCCAATTTTTTTATTTTGTACTAATCTGTACAAATGTACCAATCGAGTGCCACTGCCTTAAAATTATAGCCAAACCACTTTTTGCTGGGGATGCGCGATACCGATACGATATTCAATATATCAATATCGTTCTTGTGAATATCGGTTATTTTATATCGATATCAAAAGTTGCGATACGGTATCGATACGATATTTTGTTTCGATATCTGGAAAATTTTTTTCTCGTGCATGTTATCACCAAAATTTCATTCCCATCAAAAGTGACTTTAAAGTTAAAATTTCATTTAAAATACTCAGAAATCTCTCATGTTCATAAAGTTTTTTGAACATAATTTGAAAATATACGTGCTTAGTGATTTTATTTGGTAAGTACGAGCATTTTCATAGTTCCATTTTCAACCATGAATATGTCGGGGAAATGTGTATATAAATATATGCAGATATATTTTTCTTTCTCGGAAAAAGTGTTAAAACTGTAGTTCCGCGGATTTTACTTAAATGTTTGCATTTGCTTGAACAATATATACGCAAATGCTGTTAGTAAAGCAAAATATTGATTTAAGCCAAATAATGTTACCCTACCTATACTCTGAATTTCAGCCCCCAGAGCCGCGTTCCGTTATCGAAAGTGTTACCGAAATCATGGTTCCAAAAAGTGCAGCGTAGAGATATCTCCAAAGATTAAAAGATAGAGAAGCGAAATGCAAAACTTGCCAGAAAAGTGTTGCGTACTCTGGAGGGACAACTAATTTGTTTGTACACTTGAAAAATTATCATTCCACAGAAAACAAGACGGTACCAGAGTATAAATAACAGTGAATATGTTAGGAGTAAATACAAATAAATATATTTTTATAAACAAAGGTAATTGACATCAGCTCGCCTGAAACAACTACTCAAAAGGAGGATCGCAGCAATTGAGTTTCGAATCGCAATACAGAGTATACCTAAGGAAATTTTTTTCAAAATGATTTGGGAATACGTACATACTACTTGTATGATAAAAGTACCTTACCCATATCGTAATTTAAATCAAATATTTACCAGTTAATTATATTATTTAATTGTACAAGTTCCCTGCTGTAGCGAAAAATGAAGCCAAATCCTTTTCAAGGACTTCGCCTTCCTTTGCTACCAAAATGCTTCTACCATAACTCATACTGCATGACGAGGCCAGCACACAGTGGTTCAAAATTGGATTTGAATGTTCATAATCTACCGGAGCCTTAATTTTCCAACAAATTTTTACTAAAAACCAAAAAAAAATATTTATTTTGGTGAGCATTTTCTTATAACATTTAAACTTTTTTTTGTGTGTTTATTTTGTTTTGGGAGCACCATACAATTGTTTTCAACTAGTTTTTGTTATGCAACATTTATTAACTGAAACAGGAGAATGAATTTTCTTCAAAGTGGGCACTTTTTCTGAATTTTGCACTAAAAATTTAATATAATCAAATAAAAATTCAGAAAGCAGGCTCAAATGGTCTCTTGCAAATATTGCAGGCTTTCATAAAAAAAATAAAAAGTAAACAAATTAAGTGAAAAATGAAGGTTCCAGTTAATTACGAACACTAAATGCCAGTTTTGAACCACTGTGAAGCAGAGGGTTTATTGTTCTATTTCAGTGGAACTGGAAACTCAGCGTGCAACACGATCCTGGGCACAACTTTCCCTGTGCTTTATAGGTTATACAAAGATTACCGATTAAATAGAAACCCTTAAGTGGGGTGGGAAAAAAATGGCAAAGGTTTTCATTATATTTTATAAGGGGCACTTTTATTTTTCATATTCTGCGTTTAAAAATTTACCTCTGAAAAATGCAGAGCCGATTTAAAGGACAGTTTAAGAAATAAAGGCCAAAAGGCGTCCTTTATTTTGAAAAAAATTATAAATGACAGGGGGCTAAAATAAAGGACTGTCCTTTAAAATAAAGGACGGATGGTCACCGTAAGTATACCCCCTAGACTTGCTTGTGAGGATGGGAAAATCAAAGTTGTTGAACTCTGGTTACTATTTTTCAAAATAATTAGA